GGGGGGGGGGGGGGGGGGGGGGGGGGGGGTAGGGTGGAAACCAAATTCCATGGAACATGTTGTCCATCAAACAAGACAAAATGGGTGGAAACCATGGAATTGGCTTGTATCAAACAGGCCCTAAATTCTGAAAAATGTTTCACTTCTTTTGGAACTCATAATTTATTACGTTAACGTGCATAATTCTCTCTTTTGACAGCGGATTGGCTAGTGCCAATATAGTTAAGGAACCTACATACCTGGATAGGTGGCCAGAAATTTGTCGAGATAATGGTAGCATTAATATTATCTAGAGACATCTCATGCTCCCGTAAATCAGCAGCTGCATTAAATTGGCAAATTCTAAACATTTAACTTAGGCAAATGTATAATCTGAATTCAGATCTCAGTAAAAAATGTGGGAAGAAAATACACTAGGTCTGCCTACAATCCTGAAAATCTAAAACAGAATGACTGCAAAAACCTGGTTGAGGTTGTTGCTTGATGGATGCTTTTATATTTGTATTGGTCCTTTTGGAATCAATTAGATCATTAAGCATTATTTCACATTTCTGCATGCTGCTCTCTCCAAAATGAATCTGCAATCGGGAACAGAACCCCAAACATGAAGGTATTTTAAGCTTAACAGATGGAAAGCAAAATGAATTCCAATCTGCAGAGAGACAGTCAGTGCTTTATGAAATACCTTGAGAAGTTCTAAAGTACGTATTTCTGAGTCAATATCATAATCCGATTTGTTCAGAAGTTTTTCAGCAAGCATTACACGATATTCATTAATAAGCTGATCCTTCGAGCCAATTATGCCAACAATCATACCAAGAATATCAACTTTCCTTCGATACCTACTACCCTTTAAGGGGTCTGCCTCTAATGGGTCAGGCTCCCAACTTAAGGGGTACATATCATTGGAAGAAAATATCAGAGCCAAAATTATGAAACCAAGAATTTATTATATTTTCTTATTATAAGATGCGAATTCATGATAAATCATTTCATTCAATCTATTATATAATGGTATATAGATTCAGCCTTCTCTTTTCCGGCACGTAAATACCTCTGTGCATTAATCCATGCTTGTTTGTCATCAGTGTTGACATCATCATCAAGGCCAAAGTTCTCTTGATTTTCTTCATCTCTATTTAATTCTTCAAGAAGACTATCTCCAGTGCTTCCTGGTCCACTAGGATTCCCCCCAGCTCCATCCGTAAGCATGGTAACAATGCATTTAATGGTATCTTTCCTCCCTCTCAAGTATTCCCTAATCGGTTCACCTACGGCTTCAAGGAACACTCCTGCAGGATCTATAGTTCGAAGGGCTTTGATAGTTGAAACATACTGGTGCAATATATCATTGGTGGAGGCACCAGCTGTAAGTAACCGATATCTTAATGAACTGATGAATGAATCAACAAGTTTTGAGTGCTGTCCGGTATACTCAAGACATTGTTTCAAGTCTTCGATAGCAGGAGAGCTGTAAAATTAAGAAGACAATTGACCGTTACGATCATGCATGCATCAATTACGCATGAGGCCGGAGGCCCCATATATTTGATTCTCTTAAATTAAAAGAAACCTGATGAAAACAATAATAGTGGATCTCCCAATTTCTTGAAAGTTATATGGCAGGTTCCTCAGGGACAAGGTGTTGCCTAGTTTTATCTTTAGTAAATTAGTTAGTATTTTATATTGTGTCCAGATTATTTGTGTTTTCTCTACTAAATTGGAGTCCTTTTCATGAATTCATTTATTCAAATCTATGTAGAAGTAGAATTTTCTCAACTGCTGAGTTGTGTAGTCTTTTTTGCCATTGCTCTAGTCAAATCAAGATACTCAGGAGTCCAGAAATATGGTGTGAACTTCT